GAAGAGAAGACTACAAGGCTGGCCGTGCAAAGGCTATTTCTAACAAAAAAATGGGTAAATTCCGACTTTGCTATGACAATCTGGCGCTTCTGAATCAGCGACTGTAAGTATGTTTTGTTATTAGTTACTGTTCAAATGCGGAGTTTTGCGCAGCGCAGAGTAACGCGTCGTGTGTGTGTGTGAGGGGAACAGGGTCACATCACAGGAGAGACCATTGTGCTGTTCCAAACATGTATGACTTCCTGTGCTCTGTGGAACCGCTTATTTTGAAAAATCGCTGAATGGTTCATTTCCACACAATAAAAACATTTTGTTACACTTGGATCTTTCTCTCCATTGTAAGCTTTCAAATCTCATGTGTTCCATCAAAGAAACAATATGCAGTATTGTATTCAGTATTGTATTGTTTAAACTAGAGAATTGCAATATTGCCCTTCTTCAGGTTAAAGAATCTAAAATATAAGAGGCCGTTCCCACAGAACTTGATTTTGCTTTGAAAAACATGAGACACGGGTAGCGGAATGGTGGTGGGAGGGAGGGGGGTGCAAGATCTGAAGATAATTTTTTTTAAATGTTGAACTTCTTTTAACTTGAGTGCAAGATTTTTAGAACCATGCCTTGCACAAGTTGCAAAAGATGCCAGGCCTGAGCGCAAAGCTCAAAGACGTCCATCTAGAGCAGAGGTGTTTATTAAGTTTACAAACGGTTTACTAAGAAGGACCAAAAATTGAACTTAATTGAGAGCTCAAAGTAAATGTTGCATTATATTCTAGGTGGTGAACAGCACATTTCAGGGGCCAGTTTTATGGTGGGGCCCTTCTCTGACCACACCAGTGGACAAAGTTTTGCTACATTTTGATTGGATTTTGTTGGACTAGCATAAGCAAACTATTCAACACCATCAGATAAAGATGCTAGGACAACAGCCAGGCAAGAAGACGACCTCTGGTACCAAGCCCGGTTAGGACAGGACTTCACATTGGTCAAAATGCAGTTTCTGCCCTTCACACACCAAGAGACTGATTCCTAAGGTTTGGCCTGTGACCGCCATGAAAATTCCTTAGGATCTCCAGATGCAGCAACTGCGGGTGAAACAAAGCGAGATCCAAATCCATTCAAACCTTAAAACTGATGCAAACTACAACACGCCCATCTTATAAATATTCAGAGAAATAAGTATTGCGCAAACTCAGCTGTTAATGGACAAATTAATGCATGCATGACAGTTCAGTCTTTTTCAATCATGTTTGGACAATGCGTAACGTTGCCAAAGGTATGCTGGTTGTGGTTTGGAAGTGAGAAATGCACTGGTAAATCTTTAGTGAAACTTTTCTAACTTTGTGTTTGGACTATGCAAATAAGTTACACAGGAGGAAAGAAGGATGGGCCAGACCGAGTCCCCCCACTCTGATGGAAACAGCCAATCACAGCACAAAATTGCAATCTCCTCCTCATCGGAAATGGGTAAAGGTACCCTTCCAAAATACATTCCTTGTTCTGAGTCTCAGAGACACTAACAGACACAAGAAGTTCTGAGTCTCCGGCCTGCATGGTAGGAGACAATAGCAGATACACCATTCTGAGTCTCAGTCCTGTAAGGGGAGAAAGAAACAGATCACCAATGTTCTGAGTCTCTGGCCTGCGTGGTGGGAGACAATAGCAGATACACCATTTTGAGTCTCAGTCCTGTAAGGGGAGAAACAGAAACAGATCACCAATGTTCTGAGTCTCTGGCCTGCGTGGTGGGAGACAATAGCAGATACACCATTTTGAGTCTCAGTCCTGTAAGGGGAGAAACAGAAACAGATCACCAATGTTCTGAGTCTCTGGCCTGCGTGGTGGGAGATACTAACAGAAACACCGTTCTGAGTCTCCCGTACAAAGAGACAATAGCAGATACACCGTTCTGAGATCAACAAAGTTCTGAGTCTCAGTCCTGTAAGGAGAGAGACACTAACAGACACAAATCGTTCTGAGCCTGCAGCCCACTACAGGGAAGGCAACAACAGACACACCCATTCTGAGTCTCCTGTCCAGAGAGACAGAAACAGACATTCCACACCCCAAGTCTCCAGCTTTTGAGACAGCAACAGATTTGATCATGTTCTGAGCCTCCAGTGAGGAAAGAGATACTCTACTTTCAGAGTCTTCATCCAGCAAGACAACAACAGATGCAGCACGTCCTGAGTCTCCTTCCTAGAGTGACAAAGTGGATTGACCAAGTTCTGGGTCCCTAACCCAGAGAGGCAGAGGACACACAGACATTTGTAATAGAGATGCACCGATGTATCGGCCAACAATCGGTATCGGCCGATAGAAGCAATTTTTCGCGCTATCGGCCATCGGCCGATTGTTTAAAAACATCCGATGATCAGGGCCAATATATCCTGTCAATCAAAATTGGCGGGAATGCATCAAATACGTGCTGTGTGTAAAGATGTCTCTTGTGTGGAATTACTTTGAAGTGGGTGACAATGACGACAAAACTGCAGTTTGTAAGCTATGCACAGCTAAAATTATGGAATTATTATGGATTATTATTAATTTTAAAGAAGATATAAAATGCAGAACCACCAAACTATCGGTATCGGCCGATAGCACGCTAAACAATCGACTATCGGTATCGGCTGAGAAATTTACTATCAGTGCATCTCTAATTTGTAACAAGGTTAAGCTTGTAAACAAGGTGAGCAAACCTTCACTTCAAGGTACTTTCGTCTGCGTGTTCCAGATTAAGGACCTTCTGCACCTACTCCAGGGCCACATCTGCGTGTTCCAGATTTTAGGACCCTTTGGTGCTCTAGGAGATCAGCATCCTACAGTGCTTCGTGGTCAAGGCTGTTGAAATGAATTCCTGCTCCGTTCCCCAATGCAATGTTACCAGCACAACCAGTGGAAAAAGTCACTGCCATTGGACTGCTCACTCGACCACAGAGAATGGAAATATCACTTATTCATGGCCTAATGATTAAAGAGTTGGACTTGTAACCCAAAGGTCACGGGTACCAGCAGGGATTGTAGGTGGGGGGAGTGAATAACCAGCACTCTCTCCACCTTCGATACAACGACTGAGCTGAGACCCTTGAGAAAGGCACCGAACCCCCAACTGCTCCCCGGGCGCCGCAGTAAAAATGGCTGCCCACTGCTCCGGGCGTGTGTGTGGGTACTACTCACTGCTGTGTGTGTGCACTTGGATGGGTGAAATGCAGAGCACAAATTCTGAGTATGGGACACCATCCTTGGCTACGCGTCACGTCACTTTCAATTTCATTTAGTAGTTGTTGATTACTTTTGTCTATCTTTTGTTAATAACATTTATTTGATTACACTGGGGTCTTCCTTGTGTTGATAACACAGTAAGAGGTTCTACAAGTTAGATATCCCACCAATCTTTCTTATCTGATGTACTCATAACTGCACCTAAAGTGACACGTGATCCAAAAATCACAACATGAGTACCCGTCACTACATTATTTCACCTCCCTATGTTGGCAAAAGCAAATTCACTATACCTATAATTATTTGATATTAAAATTCAAATTGAAAAATAAAATATAAAAAATATAAATAATAAATAAAATATATAAAAAAATAAATGTTGAAAAAAAAAAACATTTGAAATGAAGATATTCGTCAGTGGCATGTTCCCCACACCCACTCTTATGACTTATAATATGGCATGATGGGCCAAATCAAAGTGTATCAGGGGCCCTGGTTTGGGAATCAACGTGTATAGCCATTATCTTCTGCCATCTGAATTGCGGAGATGTACAGTACAATTACTCAATTTCCATTCTTCAATTTGTGTTATGTCATAGTTTTCTAAAATGTGGAAAATAGAATAAATTATGAGTATGTGCGTCCAAATATTTGACTAGTACTGTATACCATATATTTAAGAAAAGGCAAGCCAGAGGTGGAAAGCATGAACCATAAACAAAGACAAACCAGATGCGTCATTCAGTTTAATCTTCATCCTTGTATTTGATGAACAACATGTGCAACAGTCTCACATTCTTACATTCTGTTAGTATGTGGCATCAATTCAATCTGAACACCACTGTAAGTACATTCTCTTGCTGGAGGTCTATTCATTCAACAGTCAATGCCCAATATTACAAAATCATTATTTATAATTTACAATTTGCTGCTTAAATTATTGGCCCCAAAAATCTTAGTCACTTTTATATGTCATACTGGTGTGTGACCCATCAGGATGTGATCGGCTGTTCACAGATACCAGTCATGTCAAGGAAATAAAAGGACAGCATTGAAAGTCATCAGATAGTCCAGACCAAAAAAGGGACACTAAAGCAGAGCTAGAAATTGGTGCAGGAAATCAGAGAATATGATAAAAATGTATGAGAGGCTTTGGACTTGTGCTTGGTAACAAGTGCGTTATCCTTTCCAAAAACTATTACAATACTTAAAGGTGACACTGATGCTGTGGGAGTCGAATTAAATATTCTTAACCTTTAAATTGTGCCATTTATTTGTCATTTCTTATAAAGCCAGCATCGATTTGTATCGCCATGTAATGCATGGTTGACATTCACACATATGATTATAGTTCAAGGGCGTTCACACACAGTGATTTTATGACTGGAGGTCGTTGAGTGGCTGTATTGGTGGTCATTGTGGATGCTCTTATTGCTAAATGCCCTAATGTTATTGGTGCGCTGCGCAACTGGCCAAATTTTTTGAAAATCTGATTACAAATGGGGTGTAGTGTCGGTAAATAGTTTCTACTTAGTTTTTAATTTTAACCCTATATGTGCACAGAGACAAGATACAAGTTTCCATTTTTGAATGATGAATACAGACTACTGCCACCTGCTGGTATGGAGATACTTAGTAATGTGTTCAAGCTCAAATTTTTGGTCCAGATGCAGGCGATGCTAGGTGACACCACAGTTGGTTTTCGCCAGTGCTATTTCTTTGACATCGGCTTGGTGTGTCTGGATCTTAACAGACTTCTCCATTTCGCATTGGTTTTTGTTGCCACTAGTACTTTGATGTTGGTTTGGTGGGTCTGGACCTTAACAAACTTATCCATTTTGCTGAAACTCACCTACAGTATCTCAGGAGATGGATCACATGTGCACTAGTGTCTATTGGTCTCCACATTACATAACTGCTCATTTGTATAATATTGAACTTTTCTCAACTTTGTCACATCACTGGATACGCCACATTGCTTCAACATTGGTCACCATTGTTGAAAATGAATGTTTTTTGTCACTGGAAACCGCTGTATGTGTGAACGCCTCTTAAGAGTGACTGCATAGAGCAAAATCAGGAAGCTGTGAAAGGAGAAAAAACAATTAAAAAAAGTGTGTTCCAGTCAAGTCAGTGGTTAAATTGTCATTTCAAAAGCTTGTTTGGATCTGCTCATAGGAACGGGTTCTGATTGTGTTGGTCTGGATCTCCAAGCGTGGATGTCGTTGACAGGGGTAGCAGCGGTTGCGGCAAGTTTCCAGGGACCTGCGCAGACTGTGTGAAGGTAGTAGGCAGGAAGCTGGACTGGTTGCTGGCAGCCATGGGCAGAGAGGCATTAAATGGGAGGGATGTGGGTACAGGAGATGTGGAGCTGGGGCGCATTTGATTAAGTGTGAGATGGGGCGGCTCATGTTGGAATGGATTAGAGGCCGATGGAGCAGCTATTCCTAAATGGGAAATTAAAATATTATGGATTTAGACAACGATGACAACAAGAAGTTTGATAATAGTCCAGTGCTGCATTCAAACCTGATAAAAACGGGTTGAAGTTCTTGGAAGGAGGGTTGGAGGGTATCAAAGAATCCAGGTTGACGAGTGATGCTCCCGTGGGACCCAGAAATGCCTCTGGAGTACTGCAGGTTCGAGGAGCTGTTTTTGGTAGACCTTCGCCAAGGGAAGACATATCGAAAGGCTCAGGACTACTATGGCCATTTATATTTGCCTGACCTCCATCCATAGCTTCATCAAAAAGATCGTCATCTAAAAATATGAATAAAACATAAAAGTAATGAGATAAATAAATAAATTAATTAATACAAAATGCACACTACCATTCAAAAGTTCGGGGTATGTTCAATTTTTTTGTTTTTTAAATAACTCTCTTTGCTCACCGATGCTGCATTTCTTCAATCAAAAATACAGTAAAACAGTAATATTGTGAAATATTATTACAATTTAAAATAACCATTTTCTATGTGAATATATTTTAAAATGTAATTTATTCCTATGATTGCAAATCTGAATTTTCAGCATCATTACTCCAGTCTTCAGTGTCTAATATGCTGCATTGCTGCTCAAGAAACAATTCTTATTATCAGTGTTGAAAACAGGTGTGCTACTTCATATTTTTGTGGAAACTGTGATACATTTTTTCAGGAATCTTTAATAGAAAGTTAAATTATAAATGTCTTTACTGTCACTTTTTATCAATTTTATGTGTTTTTGCTGAATAAAAGCATTAATTAAACAAATCTTACTGACCCCAAACCTTTGAATGGTAAATATAAAATATTTTTAAATGACATAAAATCAAACTATTCACAAAAAAGAAAAAGAAAAAAAATACATATATTACAAATA